TCAGGGATCATGGACTTGCTTCGAAAAGGTTAAATGGTCCTGAAACAAATCACAAAAATGAATTGATTGGAAATGAATTTCTTCTCTCAACAAAATCTTACTGAAAGCTAATTTTCTGAGATATCAATCTCAAATTTGACACGCAACTTGATTCGATTTATGGTTTCGAGTTTCTCACAGTTTTAGAGTAAAACACGTTCTGGAAAATATATATTTTATTAAAAAAATTTACATTTTTTTGTGCAATTTTCATAGCAATAAGCTAAAACTTCTTTTTTACGTTATTAACTTAAGTCTTGTTAACTTTATTTTAAACAAAATATCAAACAAAAAACATTATTGAACTAAAATGTTTTGTCATTTTTGTCCGAGCACCAGTTTTCCAGGTGCACAGCAGGCATTTAAAGAAGCTGCAATAAACGTGTGTGTGTGTGTGTGTGCAGATGCTGAAGGAAGGACGAACAACCAAGCACCTCAGATAAGACATTTGTTCTCCTCTGTGTGTGTCTCACAGTATGAGGTAAAATCAGGACAACATTAATGTGCACAACCCTTGCTGTTTTATGCATTTTAGATAAATATTATAACTGTTTGCTTCCAAATAGATAATAAATATTGGTAAAAATGGTGAGCTCATTATCTCCAAAAGAGAAAAATAAATGTCTTTACCATCACACGCCACACCATCACATGCAGAATCCACTGTCACATGATCAGATTTTCTACATTTATGTGATAAATGTTGTTTGACATGCATGAAGAAGTTAAATATGTGATTTTCCGTCAACTGTCCATCTGTGCTGTACGTGTATTAATGAATGGCCTCTATAATATTTACTGAATGGTATAGAGAGGCTGTGAAAGAGCTCTGAATGAAACGCTTGTGTTTTTAATCTGGAGATTATGTTCAGATAGGCCTCTCTCTAAAGCCTGGATTAAATGCAATCCTCCCCTAGGGCACAAAACATCCAGGAGCTTCAATCTATTTGGCTTTTGCATAACCCACAAAAACAATGATAGTTTGGAAAAAAACAAGCATTTAACTTTCAAAGCAGAAGATGCATACAGTGATGTGAGTGATGTCATTTTGTATCTGTATTGACAAACCCCAGAGGATCTTACAGTGATGTAGAAGCACAGCCGCTCTTCTCTCTGTACTTCTTCCATCTGGAGTTTTAACCCTTAAATATTGATCGTGAATGTTATTTGTTAATATTTACACTGCGTAGGATAACTTCCATTCACTTACTGTATTCATCTTGTGAATGAAAAACCTTCAGTGCACTGATATGCGTTAATGTGTGTACCTATGAATGATTTATTTAGACTGGCTCCAGGCGCTCTGCTTATATTGCTTGTTATTTATTCACATTGTCCAAGAATGTAGTGCAAATGGTTTGATCTTGAGCTGAAATATCCATTTGTTTGGTTCCATGCTGTTAAAGCAGAAGATGCACACAGTGATGTGAATGATGTCATTTTGTGTCTGTATTGACAAAACCCAGAGGATCTTAATGTAGAAGAGCAGCCGCTCTCCTCTCTGTTCCTGAATGCATTACTGGTGCGCTCAGAACACATCTTACACACTTTACGTTGTGAACGTGTGTTTGTGGCGTCTGCTGCTTCTGCTGGCAAGCTTCGGGTCCAGTACAAACACATGCAGACACTGAGCAGACGTGACAGGAGCGAGGAAAAACAGATGATTATTAGAAGACACATACACACCTTTGATCAGAGATGTGAAGATCCATTAACAGAGCTGACATCTGATTCAGTTCTGTCTATCTATCTATCTATCTATCCAGGCACGTGCAGAGGGGGGGGCGTTGGGTGCTCGAGCACCTGCCCTTTTGCCCCTTGGTGCCCAAAGTGCCCTTTTGTCAAGACAAAATTTCCTCTCCTTTTTTTGTATTTAAAGGCACTTTTGTGGATGCCTGCCCCATCTAACTAGTAGTAAAATTAATGAATAATAATTTAGCTGTAAATAAAATGACCCACATGATGACCTTTCACCTGATTCCTCACGCTGCACGCGCATTTTTTAATTTCGCGCGGCTACGCGCAATCGCGCATTCCCAGAGGATATCTTCAACTCTTGCGGCTGCTGGTAAGTTGTGTTCTATTCTCAGCGAAGTGATTTTGATGTTTGTTTACTTATTATAATTATTTTACTAGAACGACGTGAAGAGAGCATGCAGAGAGATGTTGTTTGTATTGCTGTGTGTAACGTTAGGCTGTAGAAGTAACGTTAGCTTGCTGTTTGAGGGAGAAAAGTTTCATGGGCGTGGAGTGGTGTTATTTGACTAAAAACTATTATTTGTACTTTAAACTATTATTATTATTACAGTATTTATTTAAAAAAATATTTTCACATAAAAATTATTATCACAACTCTGGTAAGTTATCACATAGGCTTACCAGTTAGTATCTTATGTTTTGTGTGCAGAAGCCTGTGTGAACATCTGCCCTGTTACGTTACTATTCTATTATTGTATTATTA